TTGGCGGAGGGAGTGATCGATGTGAATTTTTTTGATTCGTTCCAGCTGTTGGGGATAGTTTTTGGGTGCGCTCTAAGCAAGTCCGTGGAGTGAATTTCCCTCGACTCGCGCCTCGACTTTTGAGTTTTATATAGTGAGAGTGGAAATGTGTCTCCGCAGAAAAACTTTTGGCATTCGCTCGCCGGGCGAGAGCGGCCCCGACAAAGAGGCGACCGTGCCGCTCATCAACGTGGGAATCCCGAAAATCACCTGGAGATGTGTGCCGCTGCACCCCTCAGATCACAGACCGTCGTATATGTCCCTGAAACACTTGTGATTTGTTTCTGCTTTCTCTTCGTGTCTTTCAGTCATTTCCTGGGACTCGAGACCCATGTTTCAGAACAGAATCTGCGAATGAAAAAGTGTTATCTCTTCCACGGCTTTCACGCCCAAGCAATCGGTTCCTTTTCCGTGTTTTTTTCTGTGCTCACTATAATGCTAGTAGGACGCTGGTTAGCATCCTTATGGTTCATTCAGTTCTCAGGAGTTCAAGGAACATTTTCCTTCATCATAAGCAGGTTTTTTTTAGATGCTACGTTTCCTTCCTCAAGTGAAGGTATCTAAAATATATATAGACGATAGTACCTGAGTGTCTGCTGATGCTGATTATAAGGATGCTCTAGAAGGGTCAGATATCTGAAACTTGGTACACAAAAGTATCTTTTGGGATGCACAGATCAGAAAAAATCCGACTTTGGAGTTACATTCCCTCGGGCACCCATTCTTGTGGGAGATGTTCTTAATGATATACGAGTAACGGAGAACTTTTGAAATCTGAAATTTGGCATGTACGTGCCTGCTGAGACGCTCAGTTTATGAAAAATGTCAAGTTTCAGGAGCATCACCTCGGAACATACGAACTTTCGGGGGAGACGTTTGCAAATAATTTTTTTTTAGCTCTACCGAATGGACCGGAGATTGTAAGGTGAAACTTGATATATATATATATTGAAAAGGAAATACCAATGGTGCCTGTCCCACCCAAACCAATCTAGGTAATGGGGGAATGCATCCCACTACAATTAAAAATTCCTTAAATAAGGAGCCTCCCGTTTTGCCGAGCCATCGGGAATACGCTCCCATGGTCACAATATATATATATATATATATAAGCTTAGAGTCGAAGTACGCATTATATTGCTGATTGCAAGTCCTCCTTTTCAAATATGACCCCTCAGTGCAGAGTATGACAGATTAGAAGTTTGGCTCACAAGAAAAAATGAAAGTAAATATTCCGAAGAATATATCGGTTTGTTCTCTCTCGATGCGCATTCCGACGGCCACATACTTATAATACATTTTTGTAACTTTGAAAATAAAATATTGAATGAATCACAATCCTGGGAATGTGGTGCCGAAGGCACGACGGTAGCGAATTTGTTTACCCGAAGGGCAAACAAACTCCTTGGTATCAATCTTTAGACGATCGTGACTGTGTGACTCACTGACGCTGATTCTGTCTTGGTGCATTTGTACCTTTGGGGATGCAGAATTCAGAAAAAATCAGATTTTTGAGGTATATCCTCTGGGTTCACCCATTTTGTGGGAGATATTTTCAATGATGTATATGTTTGCTCCAGTCAAACGGAGAGCTTTGGAATGTTGGAACTTGCCATGGACGTGCCTACTGAGACACTTAGTACAGGAAAAATGTTAAGTTTCAGATGCATGCCGTGGGGGGCATTTTTTTGGAGTGGTGACGTTTTAAAGTAATTTTTCTTTGTCCTACCTAAGTATACAGAAATATCGATAGAAAGGTGAAACTTCATGGTTCAAGGTATTTAGTGATATCAAGAGGCGATTACACCCATTTCGATATCACGTGTAAAGCGTTCCTTAATTTCAGGGTAGGCCTAATCCTATGAGAAATGCATGAAGTATTGTCTCTTCCTCTCCAACTTCGCCATCCTCGTGAGTGAACGGCTTCAAATTTTCCGTCGAAATGCCTGGTTTGCATTTGGTTTCTGTATAGAAATATTTTTTTTTTGGTGCCGGCGTTTCGTAGTTTGTCTGTTGCCTTCCACCGGTGTCCGCACTCTCTCTCGTCCTCTGGCATAGAGCCTCGGTGGATAATCTCATGAGGATTATGCATCTCGAAATGTTTTTTTTTTCCTTCTCTTCCAAAACGATTCGCCCCTGGCAGACACGATCGATTATTAAGCGCGACATTTGCGATACACGTCGTGAGAAGGGAAAATTCTTTCAGCAATCGTTTACGTGCCCGCCGGAAAATGTAGGAACGGTTCCCCGGCTCCAAACGTGTCTGAACGCGCGATGCGTGGCAGGCTCCCCGAACGAAGTAATACAAACCGCTTGACGTCTGGCATCCCAGATGGCTGACATCCCTTTCGCCCTTAATATTAGCTGCGATACGGAAAAGAAAAGCGTTTTGCCGGTTCACGTATGCTCACGCGGCGTTCATCCACAGAGAGAATGTGCAATGTCGGCGCTTCCAGTGTACACACCAGACGACTGTCGGTAATGCTCCATGCATACGAGCTAACTGAACAAGAATAAGAGATCATTGAACGAGTATCGAAGACGAGAACCCATAACGGGATGAACCCAAAGCAACGATGAGGAGAAATGGTATCTATAATTCATTAAAACTCTTTGCTTCTTCCGCGACGGCTGTCTGTCAGTGTCAATGTTTCTTCTCTGTCAATAATGACTATTGGCAGCTAATCCTTATTCCAAACCTAATGGGACGAAGCGCTCCGTTGTCGTGCATGGAGTCATCGTGATCTTCACCCGTTGGAAAAAAAAACCCTGATAAGATCATTTAAAATTTTTAATCTATTAGGATACAATACATATCCTATTGTATTCTGTAAGAACCCCATTGGATTTCAATGAGGTTCCTATGATACGTTTATTAAGAAAAAATATCAAATGATCATATGGGATTTTTTCATTCGGGCATATGGAGAAGCTAACAGGTCTTATTTTAGCTGCGATTACCCTTGGCACCCGACTATGTAAATTCAGCATGACGGGGGAAATAAAAAACGAATTTCGTAAACTCTCTGAACCAGTTCCAGTCCCAATCCACGCAAAAGCGAGGGTTAGGGGTGCGAATCGACTCAAACGAATGCAAGAAAGTAGGGAACGTGCAACACACCGTACAGTCACGGTCCGCAAATCACACTTTTTTGCGAGAGGTCCTGTGCATAGCTCCTTTTTGCAAGAGAAGATACTCGAACCGGACTCCGGTATGAATTAACAATGAGATGAAACTTCCTTGTAAATCCCACAGGACGAGAGAGAGAGAGAGAGAGAGAGAGAGAGGCGCGTTTTCCTTAGATTGTTCGTCGACCTTTTCGAAGAAGTGAAAGCGATGCAAACACCTGACTAAAGAGCGAGTCATACTGCAATTCTGCCCTTTGAACGTTGGAAGGAGCGTGGAAACGGAAATGTGGGGGCTTCCTTGCGCATGACCGCGAAGGCAGTCGACAGTCGACGTCAACAGGGACTTACATTACCTGATCAGCTATTTCGAAAATGAAAAAATGATTTAATCACGATTAATGGAAACGGAGCGTCGATGGCGCGGCTAGAGTGTATTTGTTTGCCAGAAGAAAATACTATATTGCTGGTAAGTAATATAGATATCGACCCTGGAAGACACTTGAATGCGTAATATGTACTCAGACGAATTCATAAAGGTCTCTGAGTTATGTTGAAGCCATGTACTCTCCATGCATCTTGTCGGGTATCGGGCAATTGTCCCTTATTTAGCAGAATGCACTGGTCCAAATTCCAACTGGGACATTCAGTTGGTCTTCGGCTTATTGTCCGAGTCCCACAGCGTCTTTACAATCTGTCGGATTCGTGACAAATGGCGAAATTATCTTGAAACTGAAGGTATCGACTTTTTTCGAAGCGAATCCAGTTATTTAAGAGCGCGGCGTTGCAAATGTAACATGGTTGCCTCTCGTAGTAAGGCATAAGGCATGGGTTTTGGGAAGTTTGCCCATACGAATCCATGATGAAAGTGGTCGAAGGATACGATCCCAGGCAGGATGGATTTGATGAAGGAGGCAAGGCTGCCTTCGTTATTCAAGCCATTCAATAAATGGAGATCGGGTATGTTCTTGCAATGAAATGCACAATTTCAATGAAAGGCGTCCGATGGCAACCTAGGCCTCAAAGTCAATTTATTTCTGGAATTTAGTCGGAATTAATCCAAATGGTATAGTCGCCAGGCATAGGAGGATCACTTTTGATGCAGAAATCCTGGAAAATGTTCGGATCCAGGTCTTGGAAATTCGTTCCGTCGGCGCAAGCACCAATCACTCTTCCTAAGAAGTCTGGATTAAGTATCAGCCAGGCGATGCTGCACCCACACTCCACGGGGTTTCCTGCAACCGAAGAAAGGCCATGTGGATGACTGCATTGCTTTGCATTGTGGGCAACTGGGAACTCACCATACACGTCCATCTCCCCATCACCCTGCGAGAGGATCTCCACTATGGGGCGGAAGGAAGCCTCTGTCAATTCGGTTATGACATTCTCGCGAAGAACTATTCTCGTGTTGGACTGGATACCTGGAAGAAAGACGGGAAATTCTTACATTCACTGACAGCAAAAGCCATCGTCACACTTGAGTTGCACCGTATGAGATGGTCTGTTCGGGAATGAGGGCTCCGAAGACTTCCAATGTGGTTGTAAACGGGAGTTTCTACCTGCGATCGCATCCAACTCTAGAGTTGAGATGGAGTTGCCCCAGAGGTCCACATGCGATATTCTTTCACTGTGGAATTGGAAGGAGCCGGTTGGCAAAGTTGGTCCAAAGGAACAATACTGACACCAAAATTCCTCCAATTTCCCCATGTCATTGAAGAATCCAGTCGGTAGCTCCGAAATGGGATTATCATCTGCAGAAGTTGCAATACAATTAATTGAAAGATGTTTAAGAGACCTAAATTTAGGTCATTTCATATCATGAAGCTTCATTAAACACAAAATCGCTTCTTTTTTATGTTCACATTCATAAATTGCTCTTAATTTCTCTGTTGCATCATTCTACTTCCCCTGTTTAAAAGTAAGTGTTGCCTATAGGAAAGAACCGGATGGATCAATGATTGTTTTCGTGCCGCACTACAGCACGAATTTTTAATGAAAATTTCCCAAAATGAAGATGCATTTGCAATAAGTTCTATGTACAGTGAAGACTACTCAGTTTTGAACGAATCTGCCAGTGTACGCGAAGAGAGAGACGAGATTTACCGTTTACGTTCCAAACCTCCTCTATATTCCAATCTCAACATATCAACTTTTGAATAGGGTGGATAGAGAGGAAATTTAAAGAATACACGGAGTCACTCATTTTCGAGTCATCGGCTTCAATGACTCACCCAAGTGAAGCTGCCTTAGATTTGGGAGAGATGGCGCGGCTTCAATGACGTGTATTTGATTCGAACGGACTGAGAGGAAACCCAGACTGGCACTTTGAAGCGATGGCAGAGTGGTTAGGGCATTATGAATGACGTCGACTTCGGTGAGATTGGTAAGTTGCGGAAAGGTGTCCCAAGGGAACTCTTCCAGGAGGGTTTCGAAGAAGAACAGGTCCTGGATTCGATCTTTCGAGGATAGCAGGACCGAAGGGTGGATGCTGACGAAGTCGTTTTGGGAGACCGATATCGATTGGAACATGACGTCACCAAAGACTCCTTCGGGCAACTCTCGAACTCCTTCGGTGCTCATGATCCAAAATTCCCTGCAACCAGAGAGAGCGAGAGGTTGAATTTCGGTTGCTGGGCGGGTGCCCATTAGCTCTTTCGCATTCAGCCACATAATATAGAGAACTGAAATTGTAGGCACTGCTTCCTCATCAGCATTGAATTCGCTGTTCTCATTGGACAAAACTTGCTAATACGTACCGTATTCCATATTATCCCGAATATCTGTATTTTCCTATTGGATATAACAATTTTCCCATAACAGCCTCTGACGTCACGGGCGCCATCGTACGATTTCACCATATATACAAAAAACTACTTGTTAATCCACATCCGCAATTGCGTGTTTCCTTTCGTTATATATGTGCTAAAAACCAAGATAGCGGCAATTAATAAAGAAGGTGCCACAGGGAATAATTTAAAAACATCTGAATGAGGAACACATCAAACATATTGACAATATTGGAAAGTCGTCATTAGGCATGGCGATCACTGCCTGTCATGGACGTTCGTATTTGCCTGGTGCAAATCATCAATAGACTTTGTCACTCCCATTTCCATTCATCAACACCTTCTCCTAGCAACATTCAGCCTTCTTTTATTCCACTCTGAGTGCATCAACAGCAAGGAAAATGTGTGTGCTTCTTTTTTTCTCAACAGAGAATAGCTCCAGGAAATTGGAAGCTCCATCTCCCCGACGTTGGGGAGAACCCTGAATTTCGTTTTGGAAGATGTGAACTTCAATCCTTTCTCCCCCTGGGTCGAGACTCTTGGAGATTTTCGGATGAAGGAGATCAACCATGCGTTAGATATTGACTCTTAGATGACGTAAAGTGGCCGTTTTGTTGTTTGCGATGCACCGTTCGCATGAAAATTGAACTTAGCAGTCGTTCACTTAAGGCTACAAGAGCTTGCTCTGAAGCGACTCCCAGTGTTGCCGGATGCAGTGCAGATATTATGCCAAATTTAAGACTACTTCAACTTCCGTATCATCGTCTGGCAATTCTGATTTCTAAGGTATGCGATATATATAAGCTGAAGTCCTAAGCTGAGCTGATAATGTAGCGGCGACTTGCAGTGATTGATCTATGTAATGAGTTATGGATATACATTATCCTGACATTCCTGAATTAAAAGGTTGGCGTGCCCTGGATTCCATGCTTCCTGGAGACATTCCCACATTAGACCAATTCGACATTGTTCAACATAGGCCTAACGTTCCACGTTCCACTAAACTGGTTCATTGAAACGCGAAACAGGCCTCGAATCGGTGTAACGGTATGTTTCCTCTCGGAAATGGTTAGTGAAGGTATGAATAGGTCTGCGATTGGCCTAACGTTACTCGTCCTCAAAAAAATGTCTAGAAGATCACGGATTCATCCTAATACGACTTACTAATCATAGTAAGTCGAGAATTGAGTTTTTATTTAAATGAAAAATGGTAGGACATAGTGTGACCTGGAAGCAGTCTGTTGGTTAGGCCTAGGCATAACACTAAACGTACTTCGGTTGACAAGGTTGAACATACGTATTATGATTATCACATGAAATTTATCAGAAATCGTTTCTCACATGCTACGCAATTCTATCATTACATCGAGGTAGGGTGAAAACAACACCTAATCGAATTCATCTCCATAGGAAAATAAAAATTGGCATGCTGCATACATATATCTAAAAATTGATTATGATGTTGTGTCAATTTTTCTCCGAACATCGTCAGAAAATGTTCTTGTTTTGAAATCAATAATTATGTAACTAATCAAAGTAGGCAGTAAATTTTTATTCCATGCAGTAACCCCTGCATCCCAATACCAATGTGAAAAAACAAAACAAAATAAAATGGGAAAGGTGATTTTTGAGTAAAGGATTTCCCATTTTCCTGATTTTTGGGAATATGACAAATTTTGTCAACTAATATACAATTAAACATAATTTATATAAATGTCAAACGACACCGTGAGACACATCAGTCTATATAGCTTGCGAAAATAGATTTTACTCAAGATCGGATACAACTTAATGTACGAAAAAAATCGCCAAAACGGACAAAATCATCAGGTTTGCTGATTTTGAAAATAAAAAACATCCAAGAAAATTGAAAACTACGACATGACCTGCCCTACCCGATGCGAAATGGAACCCTACCCGATTTCTAATGGAGTCATTACAAGTACCCAAGTATTTGAGAACCAGTAATGACTCAAAATACATTTTGAAGCTGGATGAGGGAGAAAAGGTTAATTGCATTCAATGTCAATAGAATTCTGAAGAACATCGAAATAGAAGTGAATGAAGGCATGATTTCAATAATATCGGTATCACCATCATTCTGCAATGAGCTAGTTCTAATGACTTTGCTCACAACATCATCTTACGTGAGTTTCTTGAAGAGCCAGTTAACGTCGTTGAAGACAGAGAAGATCTGCTCGCTGGATGTGGCATCTAAACAGGCGACATTCACAATATTTCCATTGTGGTAGCAAGTGCAAGGGAGGATATCTTCGGGATCGGGGCAAGGACTTTGCCCTCTCGTTCGGGATGCGGAGAAAAGGAGGATGGAAAGGGAGAGAAGGACGAATAGCCCCTGCATTTTGAAGGTGAGAGGGATTGTGAAGTAGGTAGGAGGGAGGTCAGGTGTGGATTGGATCGCCTCGACGCTCCTTTTTAAGTCGACTCGGCCTGCCCTCGCGGATGTGAAAGTTCGCATATGGTGGCATGAAAAAAATGGAATGATGAAATATCAGAGACGTTTTGCACGTGAGGAAGCACATGGTATGCAGCTCACTGCTGGAATCTTCAGAAAATGGAGCGTTTGTCTGAGCGTGGATTTGAAGGCAACAGAGAGCCTACGGTTTGCAGGTCTTGTCGTGAAGAAATCATGATATCTATTTTTCCCGAATGATAAGGATACGATAAAAATCAGAATAGACCTTAAAATCGAAAGAAAAATGACCGTGGGATGGGCGGGGGGGTGGAAGAAGAAACCAAAACAACAAACAGGATCCTTAAACGTTTCATTTTCTAGTCTGACTCGTAACGAAACGAAATTTGCATATATTTTATAACTACGTATTTCTGCTTTAGGGAACACCTGCGTGCATGAAACCATTTAAAGGAGCACGAAGAGACCTTTTCAAAGGGCTATAAAACACCTCTCTAGCTTGAATATAGCAAACTTCATAACGATTTCAATGCATTTCAAGGGCACATTATTACATCAGCGTAGGATGTTAGCATCACCTTGTCGAATTCCTCATCAACACATGCCATTCTTATTTGGCATGATGCACAGATTCTGCTAAAATGATAAAGGATTGGGTGGCCATTGTCTCTCCTAACATCTGCGGATAATGTGGAAGTAGATAAATCAATAAGTACGTAACCTAGCCAAAGATGGATAAATTTCAGGAACTACGTTGCAAAAAAAAAAGCTATTACTGGTATCAAAGTGAATGAATATACAGGTATATAAGAAAACCAAAATTGGAGCGCCGAAGGCCTGAACATGGCGAGTTCGCTACCCTTAACAACTGTATGGTATATAACCTATCTATACCTGCACGAATCGTTTTGTGGTAAACATTTCTTGAAAAGTGAAGCAAAAAAAGTATTTAAAATTATTTTCCTCCAAAATATGTGCCCCGGGGGATTAACCTCAAAAGTCTGCATATTTTTCACTCATCGTCCAGATAGTTGCTTTCGCACTAAGTTACAGGTTTCCACATTTTCTGAAAACATGGTCAGAATTAGCGGCAGTCACTCACGCAGTCAATCATGATCGTCTCAGCATATGAGATGATGGCTGAACCAGGATCTAATACACCACGTTACACTTACATATATAACAGGAAAAGTTATGAAGGTTTAAGCTTTCGATGAATGAAATTATACAATTGAGAGACACCCCAGGGATGCGAATCACCGTTAGTCTTAGTAGTACCTATCACTGGGAAACAGTGCCTCTTCCAGAGAGCGCATCACCCATTGTGAGGAAAGCAAGGGGAGCCGAGGCTCTGGGACTGATAGAAGCCTGTCCGGGGCTTCAACAAGCAAGTGCTTCTGAGCGAAGGGCGTGAGCAAGCGATTCCCATCCTTACCTCCCTGTGCAAGGAGTTCCTACGCAACGTAGGCAAGCCTACCCTGTCCCATTCCAGGACAACGGTTCTCGCCTCTCACTCCCTCTTCTCGCTCCTGCATTGAATTAGTGCGGATTTGAGCCTAACTAGCGTAGGATGGCAACGCCGTGCTTACTCTGGCCACATGATCTAATTCTGCTTTTACCTTGTGAGGGAAGAAGTCTTTCCAGCTGTGGTAATCGAAGAATAAATTAGCAAATAATAGTTTAATTACTCTGATTTTAAACTGGCTAGGCATTACCTACCCTGACGAGCCGCCACTGCGTCTAAGTATAGCTGTGCAACATATTATTGTGGAAAAAAAAGCTGGGAAATGTTTGTCATGGCCTAAGATTTTGTCCTTCAATTCCTCCTATATCGGGAATCTTGATTTGTGCTCTGCTTTCACACATCCGTATAAAAAGTTATCGAGCGACGTACGATGGTGGCTATGGCTCGAGTTTTTCGAGATCACACGACAGCATAGCGGAAACATGCTCCAGTTGAACGTGCGAGCCATGACACCAACAATCTCCGTTCCATTTGGAAAATTTAAGGGCAAAATCACAACAAAAGCTTTAATGGCATTTCCATGGCCATGTAGCATGTACCCGCAAACGTGTGCCGTCGCGTACAGCTTTGTTTAAATGCCAATGGAGGTTATTTTTGGCACTGAACACTATATCCTCGTGACCACGAGGATATAATGAACAGCCGCCGCTGAGTCCCCATAGCGGACCACCACTTTCCTTCACGCCCTCGTCCTGCCCCATCGCTTCCGTCTCGAACCCTAGGCCGGACAAGACGTGGGCGCGTGAGTGCGCCAGGAACCTCCGGTCGGACAACACGTGGCGTATCGAGCCATGCATCCCGACCTCCACAGCCGGTCAACTCATTGGACCGCGGTGTGAGCTCCGAACTGCGAGCCGGTTAGCATCGTGAGCTGCCGTGAGCTCATCACGAGCCGACGACCTGGACCACGGTCGGCGGACAGGAACCAACGGATTCGACTGTCCACGTATCAGGATGGGCATGCGAGTCCCCCCTACGAACGTGAGACTGTATCTTCCCTGTATCTCTCCTCCCGTTCTTTCCCGCATTGATGATCCTAATAAATTCTGCACAGTTGTTAACGTTGATCTAAGGACGTACCTTCCTTCCTACTTGGAGTCAGCGGAGTTAAGAGATTCGCTTCTCCCTTGCTAAATTACTATCTATAAGAACACGCAACCCTCTTGATTACCATCCTACCACATTGGGTCTGATCCCCCATATGCAGCGAGGCATTCGTGCCCCATATCTTGTGACCCCCTGGGGTTCGCTACAACACGTGAACAGTAATATTACGTTTTACGTAACCACGCTCCGCTGCCCAGAACCGTAATATTACGTTCTGATGCAATCGCTTTTCAAAATTTTTTTTTCATATATCGATGCACACAATCAGTAGTGTGACCATGAATTTTGTCGCGTTCTAAGTACCACAGAGCTCCTTCTGGTAATTTTTTCCCATCAACAGAGGGTCTTGACCTATCAGAAATCTAATTCTGAAGTTGCGATTCTTAAAAGCTGTTCTAGCCTTGCAAAATGACAGCTCGGAGAGAGCAAGTTTTGAAAGCCAAAGAAATAGCAGAAACTGTAGCGGATGAGAGCGATTTTGAAATTGACCTTGAGGATAGCGACAATGACAATGACAATGACAGTGAAACTGAAGATACGAATTATTTCTATGAAAACCGTGCATAAACTAACAGTGTGCAAGTGACATATGCGGTCGCGGAGATTATCTACCAGCAGAAACGCGACCACGACCTGCCCATGAAATTAGTGACAATAGTGGTTCCCATGATCATGATAGTGGTGATAATGGCTCTTTTAAACTTTGACTCTTTCTATAATTTTTTGCTGTTGTAAAGTGTTGTATTTTGTGAAAATTGTCTCGACTACAGGGGTTATGCGTACTTAATACATTTGGGCGTCAATGTTGTAACGATTTCACGCAAAAGAACGTTTGACTTATCGTTGCAAGAGAATTTAACCTACTATCATACATAATACAGAAATAGCGTTTAAGTGCTTGGTTTTACAGATTTCATTATCGTCCCGAAATACAGCGCCATCCGGTGGTCCCATCTTAACAAAACTCCAATGCAGCACGTCTCTTGGCAAAGAAATTGGGATTCGACCAACCAATTGTCTCCAATTGGGACCAATTGTGTCCCTCAATGGAGCACAAGTAACTTGTGGAGTCCGCCGCTTAGCTGTCGAAATTGTTGACCGCTGGTTGAATCATCAGCAGTGACATTAAATTGCGACCTTTGAGAGGGAATGGAGTCTGAGTTAATAGTTGCCTCTCTCTAAACTGTGGTCACATTGCCAATTAGTGGAGGAATTCATAGTAAACGATGCCCCTACCTAATCTATTATAGGTAAGAAACTATTTTCATTCTGGTATTCAATTGCATTTTGACCCAAAAACCATTGTACAGGGAGACAACCTTCTCCCCCTCCAACCCAGAGCATTTTAGTTAACTTAAGTTGGGTGACATCCGAAAGCCTAATTCAATTGGAACCGTCTTGGATCATTTTCAGGTAAATATATCAAAATGGCAGGTAGAACTGCGAAAAGCAGGGAGCGATTGATATAATTAAATGTATCACATTTAGCGAGGCTCAAGCTGCCCCAGACATCCTCCAGAGAAACCATACCAAGGGCACAGATAACTGAGCATATTTTTTTCAAGAACCACTTGAATCCTACTTTCATTGCTTGAAGGCTGTTCGTCTTGCAGGTGGTCACAGATTATTGAGTTGGTCATACGAATTTAATTTTCCTTCAGGAATGAATGTAGTTAAATTAAAAGTGTACTCCCTCCCTTGTAGTTAATTTGGTTGTTCTGGGTCTCTTTCATATTGCAGAACGGGGGGGGGGGAAGAAAAATGTTCCGTCTCACCCCGTACCTCATACTCTGCCCACACAGAAAAAGTATTTTATATCCCAAAGATATCCCCTTGGGATAAGCGAGAAGTCCCAGGCATTACTTGTGAGGCCATCTCAAGGATATCATGTCTGAGCTTAAATTCATCCCAAGGATGTCTCTTTCTTGCAGCACAAGTATGTCCGAAGGATGTCCCAGAGATACCTGACAACAACTAAGGACAAATGAGAAGTCCTGGGTAGTATTTGCAGGTGGTTTTCTTTCTGCAATGGACTCATTTCCTACCACTCAGGATAACCCATATACTTTCGAAGATGTCTCTAATTGATCTTCTAGGAATACCTAATCTTAAGTTCTTGACCGATTGGAGGATGATGGTTGAATGGCAGGAAAATTCTGTTTCTCATAGATCCCAATATAGTAGACACATCTCCAAGGGATGAAATATAGCACTTTTACACGAGAAGTCATGGATGATGTCTTTAGGCCTTATGCCTATTATAGTGTATGGGCCCAGGTCTTCAACTAAGACAGTTGTATCCAGACATGCCAATCAGACATCACTAATCAGAATGAATTTAAATTTCAAACAGCAATTTTTTCACTTCCCCTAGTGGCAGTTTTCCTAATGCACAGGTCAAAAATCCTTATTGTCCTCAGGACTAATCAAGAAAATAAATATGATAGAAAAGATCCGAGGTTGGAGATCAGGGGCCACAGGAGAAATCAACTGTCAAAGGTATGCACCTAAAGGAAACGAAGAGCACTGAAGATCCCTAAAGACTTCCCTAAGATGTCCAGAAGACATTTTCCTCAAGATATCAAAGCGTTCGACTGAAGATATCTTAAAGATATCCCATACAGGATATCCAGAAGTACTCAACTAAGGAAGTCTTAAAGATATCCCTTTTGGGATATTCGACTGAAGATGAATAAAAAGACATCTCTAAGATGTCCTGAAGACATCCCTTACGAGACATCTGAAACTGTCAGAAAGATGTCTTCAGGATATCCTATAAAGAACATGGGACAAGTCCTCCAGTTGAGGACATCCCTAGGATATCACTGTGTTGTTTGGGTGGATGTGCCCTAAAGACGATGCATAGAACTTGAGAATATGCATCAACACTCCTTTTGCTTTCACCTTCTAGCAAATTTCCAGAAATTTTTTTCTTTTGTACCTTATGACTTAAGCAGCAGAAATGCAGACCTACCCTAGTTTGTTCTTTTGGGGTCACTGCCTAAAGAGCTCTAAAGAAAACCTACAGTGTGGACAGTGAACAAGAAACCTCTTTCAAGGGGGGTGTAGCCAGAGTCCTGATGAATACAAATTTTATCTAGGTATGGTAGGTGATATCAAGGAGCAAAGAATGTTTGACTGCATGCAAGCAAGTGCATCATGTAAAACAATGGAAGGATGAGCGAGTTCATCAAGGTAGGGTGGATTGCTTATGAAAGTTGAACAGCAGCAAAAAAAAATAATAGCCCAAGAAGGGATATTATTCTTTTTTCACTGATTTCGGCAGGTCAATCACTTGTTGCTTCCCAGTATCACCAACCTCCAATAAAATACCTGGATCAAAGTTATGAATCTGAAATCAGAAAAAAATACACAAGCAATCTATATAATCATCAGGCCTTTCACTGCACCTCCCAAGCAAAAAGTTATACTACACCACATTATTGTTGATTGGCAAAATGAGGGTAACCTTTGCCATGGATATGGAAATTCACTCACAGAGTTTCCTTATAAACACATTTTTTGCTCGACACCTTAAATAAATCAAGTATGCAATAAAATGGCAGATAGAAACATTCACATAAGAAGGTTGAGCTGTAGATGAGCAGAAGAGAATCTTTGATTCTTGATGCCTTGATGTTGAACCGGTCTCCATCAAGATGCTGTAGCTGCTCTGTGTACTTGAAGAGGTGCTGGCAGATGAGAACGTTAAGATCATGATGACTTGGGGCTGGAAGAACCCCCATTGATACTCTCTAACTGTTCTGTGTATTCAAGGAAGAGACGTTGTAAGGCGATGTTGGAGGTCACCATCCCAAGGACTTCCTTCAACAGACTCCTCTTTGACATACCCTGGGTGACACCAAACATGCATAACAGATAAGAAAAGATAACTTCATGTATTCCTTCAACAGAATGAGAAAATATTAAAAAACATCGTCTAATAAATATTTCATTTAAAGTCCAATGGAATTTAAGAGGAAGGAGAGCTTATGGACCTGCTCACACCATTTGTCCATTGGATTGAAAGCATAAAACAACTAGAAATTTTTAGTGCCTGCCCAAAATAAATGCCCCATAGATGAAGTGGCATAGCAGATGTTATCTTATCTGCTTTTTTTATGAAATGAGCTTTACACCCTTTTCTTTGAACCTCTAAGATCATCATTCATTATTTATTTCAAAATGTATAAAAGTGCACTTACTTTCCTTTACATTAAAAAAAGGGGGGAGGTGGAATTGAAAGAAAGGGCAGAACCTTCATCATTCAACTTTGTACATCCTACCAAATTCACTCTTCTTGAATGTCACATTGTTTTATTATCTTTATAATTTTCCTGGGTCCAAGGTTATACAAGGAATTTTCCCAGTAATTTCATGCCTTGTGTTCCCATAGTTTTACACAGTGGAGGACCTGATATTTAGTATTTGGCAGATCCCTTTTACTATTGTCAGCTTTTCCTACAATTCCTGCAAAGTACTGAAACTATTACAGTCAAATACAATACTAAACCATGAGTAAGTTCAATTAGTTAGCTAACATCAAGCAACTCTTACACTGAAGGGTATTCATTCATTGATTGTCTACCATCCAATTGGCAGGTATAATGGGCAAGGGATGTTTCATTTTCAATCTGAAGATATCGTACAGTGGTTACACAAGTGAACACAAAGATGTTATATTCTGTTTCTCCCTCCCTTCACACACCAATATGCATAATAGGTCATGCCTTACCTGGTGGGGGGGAAACTCACATTTGTAAAAATACAATTTTGATGTCATGTGAATCCAATTCATTCATTGAGACTAGAGAGAGAGAGAGAGAGAATAATCTGCAACTTAGATGATGTAGGGTTTGATACTGCCACAGAACCTCATCACTTCAAACTAAAAAATTTATTTTATTCTTTCATAAGAAAAATTACTGTTGATGAATACCCATCTCTATATGCATAATGTGAGGCACAATAAGAAAAAGGAACAATGAGCCATGAGACTTTTTCTATAATGGAAGAAATCTCTCAATATAGTTTTTCCATGGTTCTCCTGACATCAACTAGTACTATAATGCCACAAAAGTGAAGCAGGTGAAGATAACAACTTGATTTCCTCATGTTAGTGTAGGTAAAGTAGCAAACAAACGAAAGCAGATAGAGGTGTGTACAGAGTAAGGTGAATTATCTGCACCTTCAGAAGAGAAAAAAAAAAACAATTTTAAGCATTCATACCAAGATGCAGGACTCCCATTGATGATGACTTGAAGATGTTGAGGTATGAGCTGGACCCAGAAGCTCATCACAAATCTCTCGTATTCTTGCCTCAAATCCTGAAATATGACAGTTCAGAACAAAACCTCCCATGAGAATTGGTTTTTATGTTTTGTCATCTCATGGTACTTCATGGAGATAGTCATTTTTGAGAGTACATGATTTATGAGCAAATTATGATTGACAACATTTGCATGGTATGAGGTTTCTTACTTCCTCATTATATTCCTGAACACATTGTAATTCTTGACTGGCACATGAAAATATGGGAATCTCAAATAGATCTGACATACAGTGCATATAAACTTCTTGAAGGGCACTAGCAGTTGTCCAGCATCATGTGGCATTCAAATAGTAAAATGATGCCATTAATGTTTCAGTGCTGGCAATTAAGAAAGTGTGTAACTGTTTTCCTACAGAGATAGGTTACCAGTGATGATCACTACATCATCACTGGCACAGCCCTGGCTCTAGATCTACAACTAGTAATATGTCATTGGTCAGAGATAATGCCTCAATTACATTTTCTATTTGAAGTCTGCTATACTTTAGAGCATTCGGAGATTTATCAGAACTAAATTATGCATCTACTTTACTGTCAAAAGTTTTCACACACATTTCACAGTCACATAGGGCAGCCGGACTCTTTACAACGTAACAACTCAAATAACTCTCTATTGATTCTGTGCTGGATAGTAAATGAGATTTATGTTCCCTCAGGTTTGAGCATTATGGGATTTTTTTACAAAAGGAAACTGAAACTTTAACAAGAGTAATCAATAACAGTCAATTAAGAGTTGGTCAATTGATTGATCACTGGAACCAAAAGCCGCAGGACCTCCTCATTCTTAGTTGCACACTGTGTCCCAAAAAAAAGGAGGTGCTTGGAGTAATTCCATATGAACTCAACCAGGCAGGGTGCTTCAACATCTCAGATTTCAAGAAAAAAATTATCAGTGATTGCAGGCAATCTAACAACTCCATAAAAAAAATATACAGGGTGGGCCAAAAGTTTTTGCCCCTGTATAAAAATGTGAATATCTTCTGAACGGTTTGGGCTACAGAGTCGAAAAAAAAAACTGAAAAAAGTTCATTTCATGCTCTTTCTGAAAATGTATGGTTTTAGGTTCCTACATTCATTTGGAGATGAGTCATGGCCGTTTGAAAAAAACATACCGAAAAAAAAGTTGCCAAAACGAACGGAAATCATCCTCAGCAGCTGGCTTCAAGGTCGCGCGCGCCGTCGTTTTCTTCCTTCCTAATTGCTCCCTACCTTCTTTCCCTTCTTCATAATGTGAAGGATGAAAATTTGAAGACTTTGATGCTTGATTTGGATAACCGACCAGCAGAAGATCGTGACAAAAGTCAAACGACCTCCGGTGGTCCACTCCGCGCGTTGTGCTGAGTGCTCGTCTTTGCAGTGTTAATTTTTTTAAATTTACCTTATGGAGCATATACAGGGTGGGCCAAAAGTTTTTGCCCCTGTATAAAAATGTGAATATCTACTGAACGGTTTGGGCTACAGAGTCGAAAAAAAAACTGAAAAAAAGTTCATTTCATGCTCTTTCTGAAAATGTATGGTTTTAGGTTCCTACATTCATTTGGAGATGAGTCATGGCCGTTTGAAAAAAACATACCGAAAAAAAAAGTTGCCAAAACGAACCTATGCCGTGCCGCCCACGGAAGTTAGCAAGATATCGTCCCTCAAACTCTGGGAGAAAACTGAAAAATCTCATAAATGGCAAAATTTTCATCTCATGAATTGTTCATCATATGGAGGCATGTAGTAGCTGGAATCGAAGCTCTTCAATAGATGAATAGAATCTTCATACATCTGGAGATTGAATGAGATTTCAGCATCACAGTTGAGTTCAAAAATGTGAAATTTAGGCAGTTTTGACCATCAAACATCCCAAAGTGGCAAGGGAATAGGCAAACCTCTTGTTACAGTAAGTTGCACTCCACTTCCGGCTGCATCAGTAAAGCAAGTTACTTGTTTTACCTCTTGTCCTCTACATAGAGAAAAATGTATCTTAAACTTGGAATTTTCTCATTTTTGGTCTTCATTGGTTGAGTATTTTTTTATATTTCAGAGCACTTGCTGTATCATGGGTAGTGCCTTCAGGAAGATGAGTTCAAGATCTTTCCAATGATATATCATTTGGAGTGCCTTTTTTGAAAAAACCAAGGAAAAAAATTCAGAAAGTTGTGAACTCAAAAATGTTCCTTTTTGTGGAGTGATTGGACAGTTGCATAATACGAGGGTTGGTATTATGAAAGTAATGCCTCTTACATTTTTACTCCAGACTCATGCATGGAAGACAGCCGAAAATTTTCCAGGGTAAAGATTTATATTTGCTATTCTTGCTGCACCAGTTTTCTGGAAAGGTATTAGTTGAAAGCACCATTGCACCCGTTCAAAATGGCTGCTTCTCTTGATGCACATACAAAGGAGGTTGTTATCAAATTACTGACTGCAGAGGGAAAGCATTCAGAGGCGACTGGAAGACGTTAATGGGACCTCCACCGTTTATGTGAGCAAAGTGAGAGGGTTGGAAAATAGTGGAGAAATTGACCTGAAAGACAAGCCACACAACAGTCGCCTATTTTACAGAATTTTACACCGTTTTACATAGATGGAATACTTGCCCTTCTTGAGCGCTAGGAAGAGTCTGTTGAACACGATTGGAACCATATGGAAAAATAGTCATATATATAATAGGGCTTAGTCTATTTTCCAGCAGAATTTCATAATTTTTTCTTGAAAGGTTATCAAGAAAAAAATGCTCAGGCATTACTTTTGTACCAACCCTCGTACTTCCCTAGAATGGTTTCTCAGAGCTTTGCATATTGAGTTGGGTTCCTCCCATCTGGTTTCTGCATAACTTCCTAGCATTTTGCATTTTGCTCACTGAATGACCTAAAGAAACCATAAGGGACTGCAACAAATTTTCCTGGAAAAGTCACAGGCCCCTTCCCCTGACTGGAACTGGAGGATTATGTCTCTTCCTGATATCCTTGTGCAGATATTCCTGTAACTGTTACCCAAATCTTCCCAAGTGGAAGGCATGTAACCCAGACCTTCCACAGGTTTGTACCAAAGGATGAGACCCCAATCTTTGCTTTTTTCATCTCTATGAAAAAACACATCCAAAACCATCACATCCAAAACCTTCAAGACCACCAGGCCATTTCAAGAGGAGCCAGCTTTAACCCCAGTGTGGGAGATTGGGTTACTATTTCATGCAGTAATCTACTCGAAGAGGTTCAAATGTTAACATCCACAACAGTAACTGTATCTGCAATGGAAAGGAGCATAAATGGGCAATTCAAGTACCTGAATCAGCTCAAGTTATGGGAATATTCATGCAAGGATATCAGAAGAGACTTAATTTTCCGGTTCCAATCAAGGGAAGGGGTTTGTTGCGTTTCAGGGAAAACTAGATACATTTTTATGGAGTTATTAGATTGACTGCAATTACTGATAATTTTTATTTGGAAATCTGAGATGGTTGAACCTGGTTGAGTTCATATGGAATGACTCCTAGTTTTTTTAATTATTATATTTCAATCCAATATTGTCTGGCCCCCAGGCTTTTCTGCATGTATCACCTATAATAAATAAATAAAATTCAGACCACTATTGGAAATTTTCCATTAGTGTTTCTTAACTTCAAATGCAGTAACTTTTTCGAGTTGAAGTCCAAAATATCAAAGCAAACAAGTAATCTGTCTCCTCAACAAGTTAGTGGCGTAGTGAGGGGGGACTGGAAGAGTGAGCTTCAGCCCCCTTCAACTCAGGTCAAAATGCATATGCCCCCCTTGAGAAGTAAGGGAATTCTAGCCACCCTTTGGAAAATCCTGGCTACGCCAATGGTGCCAGGTATTTCACATTTGCAAGCTCCATTAAGGCCAAGGGCAGACTGAAAGCATGAAATTAGGTTTTGATGAATCATTGTTATGTGTGATTACAATATTGCTTTGCATTTTTAAAATAAAGGAATTTCAGATAAGCTTAAAAATCAATCATTTAAAATGTAACCAGGAAAAAACTTTAACAATAACACAATTAGAGAAAGGGTAACAAGTAACATTTTCGTGCAATTAAACTTTGAAAAGTTACTGCATTTTAAGAACAGAGAGGAATTTATTTAAAAAATAGCTACTTTTTTCATTCAAGGTGTCACTTAACGAAAAAAATGGGGGTCACACTATTTAACAAAATATACAAGCAACTTTTTAGATAGTTTAGGCATAATCTCCTAGCAACAAATTAGTATCACCCAAAGCACCAGAGATGAGGGTACCTTCTTGAATGTAGAACTTGACAAGCGAAAAGAGGAGAGCTCGATAGTCAGAAGAAGACCCAAGGGCAAGGGCAGCTTTCATCTGCATCTCCAGGTGGCTCAGTGTCCCTATCCGCTGTAGATGCAGGGGACATCTTGACACCTTCCCACCTCCTCCTCCCAATCTGAAATGAAAAAGTAAGAACAAATATAGTCAGCTCTCACTCATTATTAAAGTGAACCTACTAAGGGGACTCATAAACTACATAATGTTAACTATTCCCATAGCCATATACCTGAATCTCAGGGACCACTGGAACAGATATAGTTGACACTGAATTTTTTTGGTATATTAAAAGCACCATTTTATCCATCTCCTGCTACAGAGTTTTGCCATGAGAAAACCTTGAGTCCAATAACCATAATTAGAGAGATACTGAATTTTGGCAGATAGCCAATATACCAATAATTCTGATATTGGACAGATGTCTACATAATGAGAAAAATGAGAGAATATTCATAATTCGCTAAACATACTTAGCAGTTGGCCTACTTCAGGTGTTGTTTCAATATCGGTTATTAGCAGGTCACGTATCACTTCGGGCCGATATATTGGATTCGCCTAATATCGGCCGATACCAATAACCAAAAAAACATTTTTGCATCTCTAATCAGAATACTATGTAGGGATTTTTCCATTAGAAACTGATATCAGATAGAACAAGGAGGAGAAAGCAAACCTTCGAAGCTGTCCTTGAATAGAAGCTAGGCGTGATGGAGCCGACATCTTGGCCTGCTGTTGACGGTATTGAGTGATAATCGCCTGAGATGAACACTCACGTACTGCATCTTCATTCCTCCACACCTCCTCCCTGTCAGAATATTGTTTCCTCAGATGTCAAACCATTTTTCTGCGGGCTAATTCATAAATACAGTTGATTCCAAGGTAAAAAAATATGATGGACATGCAATTCAAAATTCACCCAGACATCAGTTTTTCTTTAGGCTTCAGATATACACTTTCATTGAGGAGTACTTATGAATATCCTCCATTACCCAGAAAATATTTTTTGTCTACCCTGGATGTAGTAATATGTACAGCCATATATTAAGCAAAATCTGGGTCAGACCTCAATGAAGGGAGAGAAGTTTGCACAGTATCTGATATTCTCCTTTGCTTCTTTCCTTCCCTTCCCTCCCACCCCACCACTTTTACTTTTCTCTCTCCTTTCCATAGAGGATGTACAAGGATCTTTGAGATCATTTGCAAAACCAAATAGAAATGGGAAAAGCTCATTGGTGTGGATTAGATATGTTATCTAACACTCACTATATTGCAACCTGTGGCAATTAAAGAACTAAGATTCAGGCAAAACCACTGAGTAGCACCTGATTTTTGCATAAGCTTTGCTTAAATCATGATGTTCATCAGACCTTTTCCTGAACTTCATTGGAGTGCATCAGTCTTAATTGTCAGAAAATATAAAATGCATTCAACTGCAGTGCTGCATTAGCAAAAGAGGTGAAGGATGATGAGATATACAAAATCATAAAGAAACTTGGAAAAGATTTACAATGCCAGAGATAAAGTTAAGATAAGTGTAGCTGGGCCACAAAGTGTAATATACCCCTCCTTATACATCTTTGATATAAAGATGAGGAAAATGACTGAAAACAATAAGTCATGATCTACATCAGGGGTGTCAAACTCAAATCGGTCGGCGGGCCGCATTCCTTACCCTGCAGATGCCTGCGGGCCGCACCCATAAAATTTCACTTAAATTTGTGCTGACACTCAATCCAGGGGGAAAATTTCAGAAGC